CTGTGTTGTGCAGATGATTCTGCTACTGGACTCGACGAAAGCAGCGACGGCTGCTTCTCTGCAAACCCCCTGAGCAGGCTGCACACTGCCTTAGCCGGTGGACTGATTGGGGACATCCTGTGCGTCTGCCAAATGCAGCTTCTGTCTGAATCCATCAGTTAAGAAGATTTTCATTTGAGAGTATTTCTTGTGCATTTCAGGAGTTTACACTCAGTAACTGGGAAACAGAAGCATGGGATGGGGGGAGGAGGGAGGGAAAAAGAGAGGGAGGGCAGTGGAGGCTTAAAGGGAAAGCTGGCGTGTTGCCAACATGTTTGGACCATAGTTCAATCAATGTAGAGAATAATGCTATGTGTATGATTTGAAGCTTAAAAACATTTATTTAGGAGTTAACGCAGCCTCAAAGTCCAAATCCTCCTGCCTCAACCTCCAGTGCTGCAGTTACAGGAGCACAGTAGCATCGTGTCTCTACTGTAATTTTAACACAGCAAGAGTCATTTTCATGACAAGAAACCAGTGAAAGCGGAACATGGGAAGAACGGGATCAAGACAATCCCTCAAAGACGCCATTTCCCCACGTCTGGGGAAACAAGCTCCTTATAAAATCAAACATGAAATAATTTATCACAACTCTGGAATCTTTATGTAATCTTACTCATCCTTCAAGAAAACTGTGAGTGAAAACAGATTTCTGCACGAGTCCTTGTCCCCTTTCATGGCTACTGTTCATTTCCTCATCGTCCTAAACTGTTTGCTGTCGCCCACCTTTCCAGGTCCAATTCCAACAGTGATCTGAGCACACTGAGGACAGCTGCGATCAGCAGTGCTCACTGGCACACAGACGAAGGCATGGCCGTCCCAAGTACTCTTGTCTAGTGTGTGTATGGGGGTTGAGACTTAAGATATGGAACAATCATCAGACAGTAAAGTAAGGCAGAATGCTAGCTTACAGGTGCAAACCAAATACTTGATGGGAGTGGTCAGCGTGAGTGTCCCCTGTCTGACAGAGAGGAGGGGAAAGAAGGCCAGAGTGTGTCTGGATCAGAGTGCAGCTGAGCAAAGGATATCATGGCAAGAGTGGAGAGGATGTGCTCCAAGCCAGAGAACAAAGCTTAGTGGGAACAAGAATTCTAACATGATATATATGTTGTAAGCACCTGGAAAAAGTCTATAAAAAAACATGATGGTATAAAATAAAAATAAAAAAGCATTGGCAAGAGTCTGTGTATAAAACCAGAGCTACAGGCAGTGAGGCAGAAGGACTCCTGCAAGTTCAAGGCCAGCCTGCGCCACACAGTGAGTGCTGGGCCAGCCTGCGCCACACAGTGAGTGCTGGGCCAGCCTGAGGTGTAGAATGTGATCCTGGTTGAAAAGCAAAACAAGAATCAAAGAGAAAAAAATGATGTTTTAAGGAAATTAATGTCAATGTCTGAAGTACAGAGTTTTAAAAGTTCCTATCACTGAGTTAAAAGGAAAAATAGGTGACACTAATTTAAATGTTATCTACTCAGATATATTTACATTTAAAACATTTTAATTTACTGTGGGTAGGTATCCATGCCACTGGGCATGTGGACAGCTTTATGGAGTCCGTTCTCTCCCTTAATCTTCCAGAGTCAGGGTGATAAAACTCAGGTCACAGGCTGTGTAACGAGCACCTGCTGGCTCTATCCAGAAATAATTTTTTAAAAGTTCTAATCAGGCCTGGTGGACATGAGCTCCTGTAACTCCAGCACTTGAAAGACACAGGCAGGGGAAGCTTACATGGAGGACAGCCTAGGGTATCTAAGGGAGATCTTGTCTCAACCAAAATAAAATACCTAATTGAAATGTTTCATGTTTGACTTTTTTACGGATGAAATTTACTGTCCTTATTACAGTCAAAGTATATTTTAATTCTGACCTGCTAAACATGTCATATGCTCAGTAGCCATAGAGTTAGTGGCTTCCATGTTTAATTTGAAGCTCAAGTCAGAACATAAAATCAGAACACTGAAGAATTGGTTTCTTTTTTTTTTTTTTTTTTTTTGGTTTTTCGAGACAGGGTTTCTCTGTGGCTTTGGAGCCTGTCCTGGAACTAGCTCTTGTAGACCAGGCTGGTTTCGAACTCATAGAGATCCGCCTGCCTCTGCCTCCCAAGTGCTGGGATTAAAGGCGTGCGCCACCACCGCCCGGCAAGAATTGGTTTCTAAGCGCCTACAGTGTAGTGTGGAGAATGAAGAAGGAAGGCTAGGAGCAGACGTGGTAAGAGCTGACACTCGGCAGGAAAGGCAAGTGGGACTTATAATCACGTCCAAGCTCAAAGCAAAACACAGACTTAACTGCTGTTGCCACAGGGCTGAGTAACAGCGTAAAATACAGCAGCATTCGCATTGCTGTTCTACCCTCACGTGTGCTATGTAGTTTACAGCAGCATTCGGACTTGCTGCTCCACCCCCGCATGTGCTATGTAGTTTACAAATTTCATCATTCATACCACTACACAATACGTAACTGCGCTGGCACTGAACAGGCCGCTGCAGATGTTAAAGAACATGTGGACTGTCACATTACTGAGTGTGAACATTTCAGAAGTCCTATCTTGTGTCATTACTGTGTTCAAAGAGAAAGTGTCCTTCTCACATAAAAGCAGGTTGAAGGCAGGATTGTTTCCTGTTATTCTTGTGTATTAGCAATCATGTTGACAAATACATGAAAAAATAGAAAACTTCCTTAAGTCATTGTTTCAGACTGGAATATCAAAATCAAAATAACCTACCTGTGACTTGGTGTTCTCCTTCACGTTAATTCTAGACTGCACTAGCTTTGGCACGGGCATGCCAATTTACAAGCTGTGGAAGAAGTCCTTGAATACTGTGCTTTAGTTGCACCTAAATTTCAATTTTATGCACCTTAAGTAATCATATTAAATATATCTTTGGATATCTGCCAGGTTAGTTTCAGAATCTAAGAGTCAAAATAATTCTTATAGTCCAATATGCAATTTTCATGACTTGAAAAGTAATAATTAAATTTGTTTTGAAAAAGTAAGTAAACAATATAAAACAAAAAACCAACCAGACACGGAATTTCAGCATGCACAACCATGACACAATCTGATTTGGAAACTAAAAGAGAAGAGACATAGCCCTAGTAAATAAAGTCAAGATATGACAGAAATTATTTACCCAGAACTATAGATTATGAACTTTACACTGTTCGTAGCAGGCAAAGGATACATAGAAGAATTCAATTCTTCTAACTGCAACACAAAGAAACAAATTGAATATTAATTTTTACAAGATAAATATTAGTAAGTCACTGTAAACCATGTTTTAAAATATCTTCATGTTGGTGTTAACTGAAAAAAGAAACTATTTAAAAAGTTCTCAAAAGGCTTTCTAGGCTGGGAATTCCTTTGCACAAAATAACTATCAAGTAGCTGCAGCTTAGATTAAAGACCCTGAAGCAAGAACAGAAGCAAATGCTAAAGACTAGAGCTTTGGAAGCATTCCTAGAATCATGTATAATGGCAGTAATCACTACTGTGTTTGTATTTCTTTTTGAAAGAGAGTCTCACTAGGCAGCGGTAGCATACGTCTTTAATCTCAGCATAGGCAGGTGGATCTCTGAATTTGAGGCCAGCCTAGTCTATAGGGCAAGTTCCAGGAGAGCCAGGGCTACACAGAGAAAACTGTTTTGAAAAATCAAAAACAAACAAACAAAAAAGTAAGTCTCCATTTATGTTCAGGCTGGTCTTGAACTCCAGAATGCTAAGATCACAGATGTATAACCACTTGTTCTCTTAAGAGAATCATTATTGTGTGTGCTATGTTGTTTGCGTGTGAAGGCAGCACACATGTGAATGGAGCTGCTTCTCACCCTCGGCTCTTATATGAGTTCTAGGAAGTGAACTCAGGTACAGATTTCACCAGGCTCACACTGCGAGCACTTTTCCCTCCTCAGACATCTTGCTGACCCCTTGCCTAGCTTTTAAAGAAGTTTTTTTTTAAATTGCCATTTCTGTAATCATAATCTTTTAAACCTTTATTATTTATAAAAATACTTACAAATATTTCAATTCTTACTATAAAGTAGAATTTATCACCCCTTAGTCTGTTTGGACGTCTATTAAAAAATCATTAAATTGGCATTTTGTAGAAAAAAAGAAACTCATTTCTGATGGCTCTAGAGACGCAATTAAGAAGCCAACGAAGCCCGAGTGTGGCCTTGTACAATGTCTTCACAAAACGGAAGCAGTGGAGCATCCATTTTCTGCCTCTTTTCCTCGGATACTAATCTCACTCCAGACCTAATGACCTTACAAAGACCTGTCTCTTGTTGCACCAGGGTGAGGACTTAAAAGTATGAGTTCTAGAAAGATACAGGCATCCAGACTACAGTATCTTTAATTTTAGAAGGAGAAATATAAAGTATAGAAATGCGGTCTGAGGCTGTAGCTTAGTGGTGGAGTGCTTGACTTGCATCCATGACACCCTAGGCTGCATCTCCAGCACCTCAAAACAGTTTAAAAATAAAGGAAGGTAGGCAGGTAGGCTAACGAGACTTCACCGTCACCAAGAGCAACACTGGTGCAAGCCCTGCACTAGGCCTCCTGGTTTCAAAGTTCGTATTCCTTTTGCAAAAATGTAGTATTTTCCTAGGTGCACTAAAAGTACACAAACCAAGCTTATATTTAATAGAAATAAAGCATATATGAACTGAAATACTTGTGACACTAAATATTATATGGCAGATTTGGCCTTTAAAATATAGGCTTGAAGGGATTTGTCTTTGTTTTTGAGAGGCTGACTTTGAACTTGAACTCCTGTTCCTCCTGCATCCACTTCCCAAGTGCTGGGATTGCAAACAGGCACTGTTAATCTTCTAGGTTTAAACCTTTCAAAAGTATGCCTTTAATCCCAGCACTTGGGAGGCAGAGGAAATGGATCTCTGAGTTTGAGGCCACCTGGTCTACAGAATGAGTTCCAAGACAGCCAGAGCTACACAGAAACCCTGTTTGGACAATTGCCTCAAACTAATTCAAAAAAAGAAAAGAAAAGCATCAGAAACAAACTCTTACCACTGCTGAAAATGAAGGTAAGCTACGTTGAAGTCAGTTATTTATTTTCCTTTCTTCTAAAAAGGTTTTGTGGATTCCTAAGTTCCTGTGTGTGCAATCTGCACATACGGAAGCCAAAGGTCAATGTTTCCTGTCTTCCTCAATTGTCCCCCACCTTACTTTTATCAGAGAGTATCTCTCACCAAACCTGGAGCTCACAGATTTGGCAAGAACTCAGGCCCTAACGCTGGTGTAGCAAGATCTTTGCTGACTGAGCCATCTTCCTAGCTGCCTAAAGAAGGTTTTAAAGATTTATTTTTATTTAACGGGTGTGAGTGTTTTGCCCACATGTTAGCATGTGTACCACTTGTGTGCCTGGTACCACTTGTGTGCTTGGTGCCCTCAGAGGCCAGAAGAGGGCTTCAGATCCCCGGAACTGGAGCTAGAGACGGTTGAGGGCCGCCATGTGGGTGCTGGGAACAGAATCTGGGTCCTCTGCAAGAGCAGCGAGTACTTTTAGTCGCTGAGTCAGCTTTTCAGCTCCCTAAAAAAGGGTTTTAAAGAGGCAAATTTACAAGATGTTGTGGGCTAAGTTCTGCCCCACTCCATCCCCAATTCATGTGGGTCACAACATGTCAGAATATGTGGGCATGTGGGGACAGAACCTTTAAAGCAGTAATCAGTCAAAATGAAGTCAATGGAGGGGGCCCTAATCCAATATGACTTTAACAAAGAAAGGAGATCTAGACCCATGTGCACAGGAGAAGACCCACAGAGGAGAACTGAAGCCTTAGGCGACACTGTGATCTCCAATTTCCAGCTCCCAAAACTGGGAGAAAATAAAGTTCTAGTTATGGTAGGGCAGACAGATGTGGCAATGTGCTGAATTGCTGGAGGGACCAGGACGGCTCTGTATTTACAAATAAGTAACCATCCGAGCAGGCAAAGGGCTTCTGACTGGTATCTTTGATGGACTTATGATCCGCATATGAACAAGGTCTCTGTATAATATAGGCCTTACATAATGTAATATAATAATACTTATGTAAAAATGTACAGAAGCAAGCATTTCCTTTAGAAGTTTGCCAGGATTATGATAATACATGTTTCCACAAATCTAAGTTCAAGCATTTCTTAGATTGTATTTATTTAAAGAGAGTCAAGTGTAACAAGAGATGAATTCTGAGAACACCACACTAAGAGAACTCAGGCCCCATGAGGGCACACACTGCATAATGCCATCTGTATGAGGTGCCACAGAGGCCAGTTCATCAAGGCAGAAAATACGTGAGCAGTTGCTAGGGCATTGGGAGGACAAACTAAAGGACAGGCCTCTTTAGGGGGGTAAAGAAAATGTTCTAGAATTAGACGGTGGCAATGACTGCAAAACACTTTCTATATATGATCTCACATATATAGAATATATGAGCATATACAGTTAAAATTCTGATAGCTAAAATGTGAGTCGTGTTATGTGTGTACTGTTGTGAGAAGATGTTTTTAAACAGAGAGCGCTCTACTCACGTCCGACAGAAGCCTGTCCAAGTTGGCGTCACTGGCTGCTTTCCGCTTATCCTCAGGAAGTTCCTCTAACTTCCCGTAGAGCTCCAAATTCAAGCGAGCTAATTTCTCCTGCATTCCCCGGACATGTTCCATCTGTTCTATGGAACATTCATTTCCTGGGGAACATTCCAGAACATTAACAAAGATTAGTGTTAAAGCCTATAACCCTCAAGGAACAGCTTTTAAACTCCAGGTGCGCAAAAGAAATCCAGCTTCTCTGTAAATTGCCTTGTTAATAACTGTTTTCTGGGTATAATCACAAATCCTTTATTTTTTTGAGACAGGGTGGCTAAGCTGGCTCAAACTCACAATCTTCCTGTTTTGGCCTCTTGTCTGTTGGGAGCAAATAAAATTATTGGTCAGGAAAACAATGACCAGCAATGACTAAGAAATAATCCTGGGCCCTAAAATAAAATTATGCATAATTTTTTTAAAGTAAAATCATTCCTTAAGTAAGGAAGATGTATTCTTTTTCTTCCACTGTAACACTGTATATAGAAGCAATAACCATAATTATGTCCGTTTTGACAACTGCCAGGTGAACTGAAAAGCCAACATTTTGTAGTACTCTGAGTAAAATGAGGAATTCTCTGAGAATTTCAACCATAAATTATTTTTTTACCAGTTATGTATTCTTCCTTTAGGAAATATAAATGCAAGTATTTAAAGCATAATGATTATACATTACACAGTATAATATTTTCAATCATATGCAAGACAGCTTCACTAAGGCATGGATCTCATGACTTCTTAAGTCCAGCATGGTGTCTTTACCTGCCCAGAACAACTAACGTATATACACATGACACAGTCTATATCTTCACCTGGTCTAAGTGCAGCCTCGGCAACCTTTTGGTACTCCAATGGAAAACAAACAAAAACAAAACTACTTTTTCCCCCTAAATATATTGCAAAAGTATACTGTAATTTCAGTTAAAGTGAGGCATTGCATCTCCTGAAGCTGTATTCCTGTGACAAGAGGAAGACGGGGAAGGAGAGTGGTAGAGAGGCAGAGAGAAAATGAATGAATACAGAGATGTAGACCTAACAAAGAAAATGGAGAGGAAGACAGGCCTAGCTGGCCTGCCAAGAGACAACAGAAGCCTCACAAGAGAAAAAGGACAAAGGACTTTGCTCTAAAGGACCAAAGATGAATCAGCAGCTAAGAAAGGCTTAGTGATTCCCTGGAGGGATCCATGAGAAAAGACCCAGTGCTCACATTTATCTAGATAAATGCCCACAGTTACTGATAGAGAGGTGGTGGTGGGCTCTTAGACATTAAGCTGTAAAATAAAGCTAATGGTCCCGTAAGAAAGAAACTGACTAGCAACAGAGTTTTCATGGCAACACTTACAGCCACAGGGCTGCGTGACAACACAGGGAAGGAAGGACTTCAATCAAACACAAAGTCACCTGACCTTAAGGGAGGAAGCAAAGTAAAAGAGGTCCAGAGATTGTCACTGAGAACAAGTGAACGGGGAAGAGAGGAGAAGTGAAAACATTCTGGGATACAATGTTGTTGGGGTGCAGTGAAGCATGAGATGGGGGAACATGTCTGTGAAGTAAATAATGCTTATTTATTTAGAGTCAGGGGCTCCTATGTAATCCAGCCTGGCCTTAAAGTCATGATTCTCCTGCCTCAGCCGCTCCAGTACTGAGATTACGGGCCTGAGTCCTTGTCCAGTATAAGCATTACCAAGGACTAAAGACCCAGAAACCACAAGAAGAGAGATCTGAGTACATAAAACTCCAGCACTTCACAGGACCAAAGAAGATACCCGACATCTGTAGACATAAATATATTTGGAAAAATAAGTTTAAAAAGTGTATTGATTATGTGAAAGACATACAAAGGGCTCCTGACAATGACAAAGTAAGAAATTACCAAACTAGCTGGGCAGTGGTGGCGCACACCTTTAATCCCAGCCTGGTCTACAAGAGCTAGTTCCTAGACAGGCTCCAAAGCTACAGAGAAACCCTGTCTCGAAAAACCAAAAAAAAAAAAAAAAAAAGAAAGAAAGAAAGAAAGAAAGAAAGAAATTACCAAACTAAAAACTATGTAAAGATCCTGAAAAAAGCAATCCAACTAGTAGATAAGTAGACATAGAAATTCAAATTTGATGGCCATTAAAAAAATTTCACTTGACTGACAAAAAATTAAAGATAATATCTACTGCAGGAAACTTCTATTACAAATAAAATTAGGGCTGGGTGTGGTGAATGAACCACTCCTCTATTTCAGCCCTTGGAACCTGGAGACAGGAGGAGGACCAAGAATTCATGAGTAGCCTATGCTATATAATGAATTCAAGGCTAACCTACAATACATGAGTTCCTGCCTCAAAAAAGAAAAAAAATAGGATAAGAATGTTAACTCAGTTGGCAGAATGCTTGTCTATCAGTCACAAAGATCACATTCAATTCCCAGTCTGTATAAACACGTGACTATAATCCTAGCAGTTGGAGATGCGTAGCCACAGGAAAATCACAAGTTCAAGATCATCCTCAGCTACACAGTGAGTTTAAAGCCAGCTGGAGCTATACAAGCCCCTGCCTCAAAAGGGGAAAAATTCCCAGTGCATGGAAGCCGAGACAGAAGATCATGAACTCCAGGATAGTCAGGCTTCGTACAGAGCGAGACACTTTAAAAAAATCAAAAGGAAATTGACCACACTAAGTCTAAATTGGTTTAACTAATGAAGACTTCCCGTATTATTTTAAATAGATAAATTATATGATATGGTTTTGTTTTTCAGAAATAAATTAGGTTGCTTTCTAAAGAAGGGGCATACAAGACCATACATAGGGATGAAGAATCTAATTTAAACAAGCACTTCAGGACGGTTATTCCGTAACAGCATCTTACTTTAACATTTCCGCTCATCTTCCCTTGTGTGTGTACCTAAGTGTAAGTGTTGTGTTACGTAGTATGCAGGAGTGCACCTGTGCATGCCGGCGTGCAGAAGCCAGAGATGAGGATGTCAGCTGTCCTGTCCATCACTCTGCCTTATTCCTTTAAGACCAGGTCTTTCTGAGAACCTGGACCAAGGCTGACAGCAGTAAGCTCCAGAAATCTGCTTCCTGTATCTCTGGGTTCCAGGTCTACCTGTGCCCATGTCCAGCTTTTAACACAGGTGCTAGGGTACAAACTCAGGTCCTGACGGCTGGATGACTAACTGTCTTACCCACTAAGTCATCTCTTACCCACTAAGACAACTCTCTGGCCCTGAAAACTCCCTTTTAAAAAATCCCCCCCAATAATTTTAGGGAGCAAATTATATTCCATGACAATAAAATCTAAAATTCTTAAATTTTGTGTCTCTGTATTTTGTGGTTCCCATCTTTCCCTCTCCCCCAACACTGAGTGTGTGTTCTTGTTTATTTGTTTCTGAGACAGGTCTCAAGTAGCACAAGTTGCCTCCAAAGTCACTGTTTAGCTGAGGATGTCTCTGAACTGTCTAGCTCTCCTGCCTCTATTTCCCGAGAGGTAGGATTAGAGATGGGCACTACTGTGCCTGGCTTTCTGTAGTGCAGGTGTCAAACCAAGGATTTTGTAAATACCAGGCAGTCTACCAACTACCAACAAAGCCACATCCTAAGCCCTCTCTGGGCATGCTCACAGTCTCAGTAGCCCACAGTGGCTTCAAACTCTCTACATAGTTGAGGATGACCTTGGACCTCTCATCCTCCTGCTTCTACCTTCTAGATAGTGGGATTACAGGCATGAGTCACCACATCCAGTGTTCCTTTGCTTTTTAATAAAAGAAAAAGATACTTTGAGAGCCCCTCAAACAAAGGTAGGTGGATGGTGCTGAAGAACGACACCCAAGGGTCATTTTGCTTTCACACACGCGCGCGCACACACACGCACACGCACACACACACACATGCACGCACAAGAACATACTAAACAAAAGGAAGAATGAGACACTGTAGAAAACGGGATGCAAACATCCTCAAGAAAAAGCAAGGAGAGCGCACTGTTGTCTTACCAAACGCCTGCAGCTTCCCCGAGTGGAAATCATTTAGCAGACTGAGGAGCCCGCGCTCCATCTCCTGGACATCGGAGACATCTGTGAGGAAGGAGTGCTGGATGGGGGTGGACTGAGCCCCCTTCCCTTCTCCTCCTGGAGGCTTGTTCTTTTCTTTCACCACTCTGCAGAGAAGACGCAATTGATCTCGGTTAGATCTTCCAGACTGTTCTAGATTAAACGCCTGCTTCACTTCTCAGTTACATAAATGTACATTTCTTAAAAACAGGAAATCAGAAAAGAGTCAATACTAGGTAAAGTCTGAAACCTCGAGCCAACAGCAAATGAAAACAGGTGGTGAAAAATCCCAACTATATAAAGTGTACCCACTGAGAAATGTAGAAAGTTTGGTTGCTACGTTTATGAAGTATGCTAATTTGTTAGACTGAAAAGGTATTGAAAAGAAAATTGGTAAATCTTTTCAGGGTCCTAATTTGTATATCTCATTTCTCAGTAAAACACACCACACATTCTACTTTGTTTTTTGTTTTCCAAGATAGGGTTTCTCTGTATAACAGTCCTGGCTGTCTTGGAACTTGTTTTGTAGACCAGGGTAGTCTCAAACTCACTGAGATCCACCTCCTTCTGCCTCCCAAATGCTGGGATTAAAGGCCACCACCATTGCCTGGCTACACACTCTACTTTCTAACTGGTATTCTTGAACTTTTTATAGCTGGGTGAGTAGTTCTGGGTTCCTGCTCTGAAGACAGCATACCGAGAGTGCTTGGACTTAGGAAAGAAACATTTAAAACCCAAACTCGAGCACCTGGTAGCATCCTGAATTCTGCCACCTTCCGTACGGCCCCTCATGCAGTTTCAAAGTCTGGCTGAGTAATGTAATATAACATCGCTATTGCTCTCCTTAGCCACTGCCACCATCTTGTATCTTGACCTAACAGCGCCCCACACTTTCCCAGATGGACCACCTGGTCCTGTGTATGGTCATTAGTCCCCTTTCCCTCCCCATGAAGCAGACAAGTTCATTTCGAAATAATGCCAGGTTGTATAATTTAAACCTTCAAGAGCAAAGGCTGGCCTTAATCCAATACTCTTAAGAAACCCTACTTTCCTTGGGTGTGGCTGTTCAAAGCTTTAATCCCAAGGCAAGCGGAGGAAGGAGGCAGAGACGGGGATAACCAGCAGGAGTTCAAGGACAATGAGGGCCACCTAGTGAGACGCAGTTTCAAATAAAACAACCAGTCAGTCCCTAACCATACTAGCCTCCTAGAAGCACATTGGCCAGCTTCTTATCTGAGTCCTGGTCCTACATTCAGATCCTTCACTTCCCACCGTTTTTGCCAGGCCACTGCTCACAATCCCTTCAAGCCTCAGTCTAGCTGCGATTTCCCCAGAAAAGCACCTGGGAACCTTTGATTAATTCTTATCACATGCATCTGCATACACCAGGCTCTCAGACACCACGGAGATGGCGCCATGCACACTCCTATATAAAAACAGGAGAAACAGGAGTTCACAAGGCACAGAGCCAGCCAGGCTTTTAAAGGCGATGCCCAAGTAAGGGTTAAAAAACCAAAGGGGTTGGAGTTAGCTTTAACTAGTACTGTAGGTTCTGGATTCAGTCCTCCACTTACAGAGACTCAGTACTTGATTTTGACATAATAATGAATGAAGACTTCATCCCCACAACTATACTTACAAAGATAAGATAAATAGGGCGTGTGTATGTGCACATACATCTTTGTGTGACGTTCTGGGAGTGTAAGCCCATGGATGCGGTTGGGTAAAGAAACTAACAACTCTTAAGAAATTTAGAATTCAGGCTGGAAAGATGGCTCAGTGGTTAAGAGCACTAGCTGCTCTTCCAGAGGACCCTGGTTCAATTTACAGCCTCCAATGGCAGCTCACAACTGTCTAACTCCAGTTACAGAGAATCCAACACTCTCTCTTCTGACATCCACAAGTACCATGCATGTACAAACAGACTTAAAGACAAAACACTCATGAATAAAATGAAAATTTTTAAAAATTGGAACCTGGAGTGGTGGTGTACAGCATTCTGGAGGAAGGGAAGAAGAGAGAGTCCTACGTGTTCAAGGCCAGCCTAGTCTACACAGTGAGTTCCAGGCCAGCCAAGGCAATATAGCGAAGTACTTCTCAAAACCAAAAACCAAAAAAACCAATAGGAGAAAATAAATTTAGAACTCATAGTCTGTCAGTTCTTCACAAGGAAAGGTTTGCATATTGTGTGTGTGTTATGCAGTGCATGCATGTACATGTGTGTGCATGTGATATGGGATTAATCTCTGTATGCTGTGAATGTTTTATTACCATTGGTTAATAAAGAAGCTGCTTTGGCCTTTGGCAGGGCAGAATAGAGCAAGGCAGGAAATCCAAGCAGAGCTAAAGGAGGAAAGAAGGCGGAGTCAGGGAGATGCCATGTAGCTGTCCAAGAAGATGTAAGGTAACAAACCATGAGCCTCGTGATAAAAAGTAATAGAAATGGGCTAAGATGTAAGTTAGTTAGAAATATGCCTGAGCCATCAGGCAAACAGTGTTGTAATTAATACAGTTTTTGTGTGATTATTCGGGTCTGGTGGCCGGGAAACAGAAGCACACTCTCCGTTTACATGCATGAATGTGGGGTGGCCAGAGGTTGACGTCAGGTAGACACATCTTCCTTTGTTGCTTTCCACCTTATTTTTCGAGACAGACTCACTCATCAAACCTGGAGCTTGCCACACTGGCTAGACCGCATTAACAACAAGGATTCCTACGTCCACAATGATGGTGCCGTGTTGGGACCATTTGGAGTCCTGGCCTCCAGCTGCTCTTCCCTGCTAGAGATCTTCACTTTCCTTCTGATTTGAGCTACTGAAAGCTGTGTCAAAGTTGTTTACCAGCTCTGCTTCACGAGCACGTGTTGCCTTGCCTTGAGGATCAGAGGACAAGGTTTCACCTGTTGGCCCTCCTGACTGTGTTGGGTATATAAGCCTCCGTGGAGCTATTGAATAAAGAGCTTCTTACCAGTGACTAGAGGTCCGTGTCTCTGTCTCTCTGTGTGCGTTTGTGTGTTTCAACCTCCAGCCCCTTGCCTGAAGCTCGCGAACTGTATGGTAGCGCACAGAGCGCAGACAGGCGGTGTGCGCTGCAGTGCTGAAGTCCAGATGTGCACTGCCACACCTTGATTTTTCACAAGGACGCTGGGGATCCAACTCAGATCCTCATGCGTGTGTACCGAGCTCTTTATCTGAGCGGTCCCCAGCCCCAAGGCCTGTGTTTTTATACCAGTATTTCATATGGTATTAAATGACATCATTCAGAACCTTACCTCTGCTTCCTTTTACTGTCATGAAGACCATGAGAGAAAGCAACCTGGAGAGAAACTGAAGCAGAGCCCACAGAGGGATTCTGTTGACTGGCTTGCTCAGCCTGCTTTTTTTTTTTATTTATTTATTTATTTATTTATTTATTTTTCGATTTTTTGAGACAGGGTTTCTCTGTAGCTTTTGGTTCCTGTCCTGGAACTAGCTCTTGTAGACCAGGCTGGCCTCGAACTCACAGAGATCTGCCTGCCTCTGCCTCCCGAGTGCTGGGATTAAAGGCGTGCGCCACCACCGCCCGGCTTCAGCCTGCTTTTTTATACAACCCAGAAGCATCTTCTCAAGAGTAGCACTACCCACAGAGGGCCAGGCCATCCCATATCAATAAATAATCAAGAAAATGTCCTATAGAATTGCCCACAGGCCAATCTGATGGAGGCACTTCTTCAGCTGAAGACCCAGCTGATTCTGGCAGGTGTCAAGTTGACAAATACCACAAGTGCTGTCCATGACCTCAACTGTGAGCTTATCACGTGAAGACCCACTCCTGCTGATCCAGAATGTGCAGCTTAAAAAGATCCCACAATCCCCCTACTCTCTTTAAAAGTAGAGAAAAATCCACTATAGATTTTATGGTTTCTGTGGAGCAAATGTATTTTTCTCATTCTTTCAAATTTGCAAGTTTTTATCTACTAGGTAACTTCATCAGGTAACAGAAGAAAAGAGGCATACACTACAAAACTCTCTTTACTAAAATTTGTTTCCTTTATGCATATGTACATCTGTGCATGAGGGTGTGCATGGTCGTGTGGTTGTGCCTGTGTGTGTGTGTGCAGGCATGTGGAGGTCAGAGGGTACTCTTAGATCTCATCTCCAGGGGCGCTTTCTTTGAAGTCAGCAAGTAAAGTAGACTGTCTGGTCAGCAAGCCCCAGGACTCCTCTTGTGTTCCCTAGGATGGGATGACAGGAATGAGCTACCATTCCAGGTATTTTTATGTGGGTTCTAGGGATGAAACTCAAGCCTTCTGGTTTGTAGGACCAGAGTTTTAGCAACTGATCGAGCTCTTCAGAGCCAACAACCCCTTTCTGAATATTTATTCACATGAAATTCTCATAGTCGTTGCTTTTAGAGTCAAAGCCTGGGCTGAGACTGTAGCTCAGGGGTAGAACATTGGCTGTGCGAGGACCCGGATTTAATCTGCAGCACTGGGAAAAATCAAACCACAAGAGGAAAAGAGGCCGGACAGAGAAGATATGTAGTAATAAGAGGGGCGGCGGGGCTGCGTCCCCAGCACCCCGGCTGCCTGGCTAGCTTATGCCCGAAATAACAACACACAAACTGTATTCATTTAATCACTGCTTGGCCCATTTCTATCTAGCCCTTACTGGCTAATTCTGATATCCCGATCAACCCATTTCTAATAAACTGTAGCACCGGTCTTACCGGGAAGATTCTAGCCTATGTCCATCCTGGGTCGGAGCTTCATAGCATGCGTCTGCCTGGGAGCAGGGCATGGCGTCTCTCTGAGGCATCTGCTCCTGAGAGTAGAGCTGTCGAGTCTGAGCTCACTTCCTCTTCCTCCCAGCGTTCTGTTCTGTTTACTCCTCCCACCTATCTTCTAACCAATAAAATGGGCCAAGGCAGTTCCTTTATTAGTCAATGACCTTCCTCCATCAAAGATTACTTATTAGCACATTAGTGTGAAATGTCAAAGACAAGAACTTACCTCTTTAACTTTGGCCGCTGGGACGTTGACTGTGCCGTGGGATTTGAAAAGCCTGTGCTCTTACTAGCTGGGATGGCATTTTTTTTGGCATTGACAACCTGAGTAGAGTGGGCACTGAAAGACTTGGGACTCTTCCTTTTCGCTTTCCGCTCTTCCATTGCTTCAAGTTCTTTGTTGCATCAACAGCAGCTTCATAAGCCCTAAGTAGGGAACTATTGTGATTACAGCTATAAGCTACAATATGTAAAGAGAGAGACAAAGGCACATTCCACAGGCCAAAGGAGCAAGAATCTCAAGTCATTAAGTTAGAGCAAGGAATCCCCTTATGTCTAATCTACTTTGCTAGTGCACATAAAGATCTTTATGAAAACTGTCTAATAATCTTTTTTTAGCATTTTCTCTCATCACACATCTAAGCATCTCCTCCACAAGCCAGGCACTCCTGTCAGTCCTGGGGAAGCGATAACGAATAAGACAAAGTGCTTAATCTCAAGAAGTCACCACTACATAAGGTGGCCAATATAAGCCAATCACCCATGCAAACCCGCAGCCTCACGGAAGCTTTGGCTGGCCTTTCAATCTCCCTTCCAAAGCAGACTCAAACAGATGCCTATCAGGGCATCGGAAGTCTAAACTGCAAACTTAAGGCTTATGTCATGTACACTAGATGGGTAAACTATGCACCACTGTAGAGTTTTTGCAGGCCTTGCTCTGTACAGCAGGCTGGCCTGGAACTCCCAGAGATCCACCTGCCTCTGTCACCTGAGTGGCGGGATTAAAGGCATCAAAAGTGTGCACCACCTCACCTTTTCTTTTTGAGACAAAGTTTGGCTCTATGTTTCTGGTTGGTTGAGAAATTACTATGTAAGCCATGCTAGCCTCCAGCTTGTGATGACGTGCCCCCTCTGTTCCCAAGTGCTGGGATGATGGGCATTTGTCACTGTTTAGATTTGAGTTTTTCCTTATTATTAATGAATTACAAAGCCGTCACAAACATACCTATTCATTCCTTCAAATTGTTAATTGCATTATGAATGTCAGGTCTTAAAAAGAAATACCGTCGGGCTTGAAAGACAGCCCAGCAATTAGGAGCCACTGGCTGTTCTTCCAAAGGATTCATTCGATTTCCAGGACCAACAACGTGGCTTTCAACAATCTGTAACTTCAGTTCCAAGCTATCCAATGCCCTCTTCTGGCCTCCAGGGGCACTGTAAGCAAATGGTGCATAGACTTCCAAGAAGGCAAAACATTCATACACGGCCATTAAATTTAACATTTAAAAGTGTTGAATTCAATCCTGCCGCGACTGTTTTAAAAGTCAGAAACCGTCTTGGGAATTAAAAAGACAATGTTGGATTTCTGTTTCTTGTTTTTTTTTTGCTATCTAATAGATGGCTTTCTTGGGAAAGGGCCCAACATCCAGTCTCTAATCTCAGATACCAATAGTGAATCCACTTGACTTAGTTGCTAATTGTTTAGCATGTAATACAGATTAAACAGAAATTTAAAGATGAGAAAGCGGGTCTCCAAGAAGTGAGGCTCTGTATAATTCATGATACATATAAACACACTAACCTTTAATCCTAAGGGTGCTAATACACATTTAGTGACAGAAGAAGAAAAAAAGCATCGCAAATAAACCAATGGTCTCCTAGGGAGCAAGCTTGAGATTTACTCAATTCTGGAGGATAACATTTGTCCCAGAACCTGAAATCCTAAACAAGCACCAGAGACCGTTCTAGAGAGGGCGAACTGCTGCTCACGGTTGAATGTTAGGCCTTGCTTCTAACCAGGACCACCGGGGCGGCCTCTGGTCTGCCTTCATTTCCCTTCCGCAACCCACCGCAGTGATGACCAATCAATCCCCAGCAGTAACCGGAGCGGGTGCTGAAGGGCCCGAAGGAGCAGGTCGAGGGAGTCGCCTCATCCCATTACATACCGTAGGAAGAGGCTATGTCCTTTCCCTCAACTGGAAAAGGTCGGAGAGCGTCCAAAGCCTCTGCTACAGCTGCAGCAAGAGTCCCGGTCACCAGCTTGGGACTCGCGCCTCCGCAGCGCCCTTTGTTTACGGAAGTGATGTAATCGGTGCGGAGCCCTCTGTGAGGCGGAAGCCACGCCCCTTCCGGGTCCCTTAGCCTTGCTCGCATCCCCCGTCTTGGGCTCAGTGCGTCCATAGCCGCCTTCAGGTACTGTTCCAGCGGCCACGGGAAAGAGAAGTTTTTTCTGGCCATGCCAAGTCTGCCCCTGCGACGGCCTCGAATTGGCAGTATAGTGTCCTCACCGGAAGCGGCTAGCCACCACGGTGAATGACCGCCTCCGTACACTGCAATTCCCAGCATGCCGTTCGCGCACACCTGAAGGCGGAGCCTGCTGTCACCCTAGCAGCGGATCCAAGCCTCGGATTGGCTACCTTGAGTGTGGCCTGAAAAGCTGTAGGCAGATGAGCCACTCGGATGCTGAGCCTCCAAGTGGGAGTCTGTAAATAACTAGTGTCCGAGCCCTGCGGTTCTTTGGGGGCAGTTCGGTTTGTTTACGTTGTCTGTGTGTCGGTGTGTCGGTGTGTCTGTGTGTCTGAGTTTTCTTTTTGACAGGGTCTCGTTCGGCCGAGACTGCTGTAGAACTAGTTATGTTGCTGAGATGCCCTTGAACCCCTGATCGTCCTGTCGGCACTTCTTAAATGCTAGGATTACCTCACTACCGTCCTTTGAGATAGCTGGCATAATCCTCGTTTTAGAAATGAATCTGAGATTCAGAAAGGCTAATCAATCATGTTGTCTGACTCTTCACTTCATCCCTGGGAGAAAGAATTGAGGTTTGAGAGAGGGTCATGAAGGGGCTCTAGGCAGCCAGACCATGGCAAAGATGCCTCTGACAGTCCCTGACCTTCTCCCCCATTCCCTCTGCCTTGCTAAAAAACCATCAGATTACATTCCTAAAGCTAGCCACCAAGGTCTACTTCCTTACTTGATCACTTCTTCCTCCTGAAGCTGACTACCAAGGTCCAAATATCAAAATATTGAAGTCCAGCAATCAAAAGCCCCTTTTGGCTGCCCTAATTAACATGCCCAATAAAAATTAAACACCTCATCCTAACACGGTGTCTCCCCTTTCACCTTTATAAACTGTCATTTACCTATGGGCCTCTCTATCCAAAGATAGTCCATTGTCCTTCCCCAACAATATTCCCCTCTCCCTTATTACTCTTTCCTTCTCCCTCATCCTCTGTCTCCACCTGTGTCTCTTATTCCCCTGTTCTTTGTCCTTCTGGGGCAAATGAATCACCTTTGTGCTGAGAACTTGGTCTTGGGGTGTCTTGTGCTGAATACGGTTCTTTCAGCCCAGTCCTTGGCTAGAGAAGAAAACCAGTCTTTCTTTCCCTGGTGTGGGTTGCCTTCTTGGACTGGGATCTGGAGTTGGGAAATTTTAGATTCCTAGCCTCTTAGATTGAAGTAGCTCTGCCCTAATTGCCTAAAGAGGAAAATGTGTCTAGAGAGTGTCAGTGCTAGAGGGGCAAGGCAAAGATGGAGATACTAAGTCCCTAGGCTCCTACCATGAGAAGTTCTTCCGTTAGAAAACAAAATAAAACTGAAATTATTTTTTTTAACACAGACATAACATTCATGATCCCACTTTCCAAGGTGAATGCATGTTATAGTTTTTTGATTTGGTATTTTAGGTTAAAGAACTAGCAAATTCAGGAAAGATGGATTCCTCATCCCCCTTGGTTAGCTCCCTTCGCACAGACTACCAGGGTCACTAGGAAATAGATCTTTATAACTGATGATCAATATGCTAGTTTTTTTCCAAGATCTTTGCTGACAGAGTGAAAAGAAGAAGGAAATGGATTGTTGACAGTTGGTGAATAAGTGAGAAGATCCGATCTTCACTGAAGCCTGGCGGCAGTGGTCAAGATGACCTAAAGCAATATCTGCTTTAGAACAGAAGATAGATCTAAACTCTGGAAGTATTTAGCTTTTCTTTGCCTTTAGAATCCACCTGAGACCTGTGGCATTTGAGTTTACAGCCTGTGACATAATTTAGGGACACTGAAAAATGCCCTTCTGAATGTAGGTAAGAAAATCCACTATGGGGACTCAGGCTTATCATCCCAGCCTTGGGAAGGTAGAAGCAGGAGAAACCTGGGCTACATGAAACTCTGTCTCCACGTAAGTAAATAAATGTCTTGCGTTGGAAGTATTCACATTTTGAATGTCTGTCCTGAGTCCCTCCAGTCACTTAAAGATGTGTCACAAGAGCCCTGTCTCAGACATTCTGTCACTTCCCAATACATCCCCATATGGGAACCAAGCCTTTATAGGAGACTGGGGGACACTAAAGTTCCAACCTCACATTTTTTCCTTCTCCACTATATTATCAAAATATCCCACATATAACTTAACCCAGAGTGCAAAAATATCCAACCAGAGTTAAATTTCCATTAACCTCAGTAAATGTAATGAATTAATAAAGTTCTCTAATTTATTTCTGAAAATACAGTGATTAAAGCAGTGTATCTCTTCCTCTCCCTGACTCCATATTTATGGTTGTCTTACATAGCCTTGGCATAAGAAACTCACTTGGTAACCAAGTCTGGCCTTAAACTCACTACAGTCCTCCTGCCTCAGCTTCCTGAGTGCTGGAGTTACAGGCATGGAAACGTGTTGTGGAATATTAGTTCAAATATGCAAAGATGTGCTGAGTTTGCTTAACTATGTAAAGATGATTCTTTATCTTGCCTCTCTAGGGCACCTGGTTAGTCTAATAAAAAGTTAAACAGCCAATAAATAGGAGGTGTAGGCAGGACTTCCAATCAGAGAGAGTAAGAAGAAGGGGTATCAAATCTAGAAAAGAGAGAGAGAGGAAAAAGACACGCCAGGGAGATGTCAGGGGCCAGCTAGCCAAACAGACATGGAAGAAGCAGGAAAGCAGGACATAAAGAACGAAAGAAAGGTAAGGCAAAAGGCCCCGAGGCAAAATGTAGTTGAATAGGAACAGGTTTAATTTAGTTATAAGAGCTAGTGGGACAAGCACAAGCTAAGGCCGAGCTTTCACAACAGGTCTCTGTGTCTTTATTTGGGAGGTAGTTGGCAGCCCAAAGAAAATACCAACTACAGAACCATTCTTTTTGGCTATGGAATGCTATACGGATTTGCTGTAGAGTGTTGTTTTTCATTAAATTCAAGTAGCTGCCCCTTAAAAAACTACTGTCCTAATAGGCAATTGCAACCCTGCAGCTACCAGTAGCAGTTAGATCTCATTGGCTGTAGCCAGGCAGGAATTCTGTTCCCTGGAGCACTGACTATCACAGCCACTAAAGAAACTTTGTCTAGATCTCTATTCCTCCATAGAACTCGGGATTCAGAGGTTGAGGTGAAATTCTGCTTCCTCAGAAAAACTGAATAACTAGTGGCTAACCATCTCTCCCAAAAAGCAGCCCATAGGCCTTCTGCTTCGCCCTGACTTAAGAACCCTAGCTACGCCTGGCTCCTCCCACTTCCTGTCAGCTAGCTGCTGTCTCAACCTCCTGATCCCAGGCTAATTTTATTTGATCAAACAAATGTAACATGTCTAAAATTAATATTCCACAACAGACCAGGCTGACTTTAAATGTATAATCCTCCTGCCTCAGTCTCCCCAAATGCTGAAACCACAGTTGTGCTACATCACATCGGGCTAAGCTTCCCTTTGAAACTGCAGCATCTGGAGGAGTTGGCCCAGACTGGATGGCATCACCAGTGTCCAGGCAGGCACTCCTTCCTCAGCAGAGCATCTGGGCTTTGTATACTTGCCTTCCTCCAAGAGGTCTGAAAAAGGATCTAATTGCCCTGCCTTTGGAGTTCTGATGCCTTCTTGTTAAAAACAATAAAGCTTATTATTTGGGTCTTATACAAAGTTAATGTTTTAAATGCGTTTTTGCATTTCAACTCTACGCTTCTCTTTTAAAGCTAAAGTAGTTAACTAGATTAGGAGATAGGTGTCAGAAAGAGCTGGGGAAGTTTTGATCCACCAAGAATCTTCTCCAAGCTGCTGTCATCAGAACAGCGGTAAAAAGAAAGCTGAACCAGAAAGCAAAGCATAGTGTGATGGGGTCAGAAGTTGGCTACACTGTATCACAACCTTCAGTTTTCTATCCTTAGCTAGACTTACCGAGTTTACCAGGTAGTCCTACAAGGATGCTAGAAACACCTGAAGGAATGTCTTACAAAGTAACACAAAGTAAAAGGAGGAATGTCTTGCTTTTCTGTAGCTGTGAAGCGATACCATGACCACAGCCTATAAGCTACACTAATGAACCACGCATGCTCACATACATGCGCATGCGCTCACACACATACATATAAATGATATATAATGTATATGATGAGGGGAGTGTGAATATGTGTGTTCTATCAGCTATTCCTTAGAGAACGCTGACATGAGGGTGAGGGAGGGCAGAACGGGAAAGGAAGAAGACGAGTTAAAGAAGGAGCCTATTTATACCTGAGAGATAACGCTACTTTCTACTGCCTCCGTGTCAGTTCCTGCTACCAGGTTCCCGCCTTGAGTTCCTGCCTTGATTTCTCTCTATGGTGGACTATGACTGGGATGTGTCAGCTCAATAAACCCATTTCTCTCCAAAGTGCTTTTGACCAGTGTCTTATTACAGCAAACCAGCACAGCTGGAGGAAATAGAGGCAAAAGAAAATAGATGACCTACTGTGTGCTCATAATTAATGATGACAACTAGATATTCACAGGTGTACAGGAGGCTGTTCTCAACTTTGTGGCTTCCAACTCAGCCTCCTGTTTACTTGCTCTGTGTGGTAAAGAGGGAAGAATCACTAGGGTAGAGTTAAGGGCCATTTCAATGTTGGTGCTAAAGGCAACCAAAAAGGCAGACAGGAGAAAGGGCAGTTAAAATGGTAAGAAGAACTGTACAAAGAATGGTGGTTGACCAGTTGCAGAGATGCATACCTTTAATCCTAGGACTCAGGAGGCAGGGTAGGCAGGTTTCTGTGTGGCTGAGGCCAGCCTAGGCTAGCATAGTGAGTCCAGGACAGGCAAGGCTACATAAAACGACCCTGTCTCAAAATACAAAAAATGATGGTGGTTAACATATGGAAATTCAGAAC